TATATTTTTATCGCATAGACCTAAGACCTCATATTACGCACGCGAGCTTTTGTTGTTATATTTTATTTAACTTACTTGCTTTATCATGTACAACATGCCTTTAATATTCAGAGTAAATTTTCATTTACTCATAACTTAATAAATTAATTAAGTTTAATATTTAAATTCCTTAAAACCCTTAATTAACAGTTGTTTACATTGGCTCCACATAATTCTTTGGTCAGATACTTTACTTCAGGTAAGCCCATTATAATAATGAATTAAGAAATAATCCACCATTTCGGATTTTACCTTGAAATTAGTATTGAACTTCCGTCCAGGAATAATCAACCTCATTTATATATATATACACAAAAAACTCGTTAGTCTTGATCAATCTTTATCTAGTCGATAAACAAGTAGCTTATAGGTTTGTTAATCTCTCTGTCTTACTTTTTCACATTTATAATATTAGTGTGATGTGATGTAATACTTGTAAGTAATTAATTATACTTTATATGTATATATACATAATACACTAAACTCGTAACTCTGTACGTAATCCCATTTATGTTTCTTTACGTATTTTTCTAGACATTTAACTAAGAACCTTGTTACGAGATTAATATCGCTACAATGTCAAGTGTAGAGTATAAAAAATTGGTTGTATCGTTAGAAATAAAAATATTTTTTCCAAAATAGTTATATTTTGTTAACGTTGTATACCAGCTACGCCTATTTTTGTCACCCCAAACGTCTGAACAAACATATTCGGGTCAACGTTAAGGTTAGGTCAGGCCAACATAAATTCGTGTCAAGTTGTTAAAACTTATTAATTATTGAACTGTATCAGACAAAGACGAATTCATTGGAAAAACATTATTTATGCATCGACATACACAATTTATTGTCATAATGGAAGGCAATGTCATTTAAAAATATATATTTAAAAGATTTTAAAACACTGTGGTTTCATAAAATTCAGAATGTAGGCAAAGTGTCGGTTGAATGGGAGTTCCATTATGGAAAAAAAGTACTATATTAATACTTGCTGCTGGATTCGTGATATTGAAAATGAATTTTGCATCCTACAACTTTGGAATAAGATAGATATCTATCTGTATTGGTTTTATTATACGGATTTCTCATTAACAGATGCCCTGAGGTAGGTTTTGTTGAAGAAAAGCGTCTTGCGGATGTCGTTGTGAAGGCATTGTGTGATAACCGGTTCACTTTTTCTCTACTAATGAGACGCAGTTGCGAACAATTTCGAAGTTGTGACTTCGGCTTTTCATTGACCTCAATCTGCGGAACGAACGAATTTTTTATTGAAGTATAACTCATTGAAGTCATGTTGTAACTTCCAAAAATGAAAATTGGAATACGAAACATAGCAAAAATGGTTTGACCCTGCAAAAATATTTCAATTACTTTTTCAATTTAAGTTCAGTTGTTATTTTACTTTAATTCTTTTTAAGGGAAATACAGAATTTATATTTTAAACAAAACTGCAATCTATTTATATATGTATATAGTATACAATAAAATTCTAATTGAGTTGAATCTGTATATTACATATATTTTTTGGAAAACCTTATTGAAAGAGTCATTATTATCGATACAGAGGCTGAATCTATAGTTTTAAGAATTTTTGTCTATCTGTCTGTCTGGGAACGCATCACGAGAAAACCACTGGACAGATTTTGATGAAATTTGGTAAGAGATAGCTGGTGATCTGGGTCAGCGTATACGATACTTTTTACTGCGGGAAAATATCTCATCTCTGAGAAATCTATACTAAATATTAAACAAATAAATTATCTGTATATATTTTTACAATGTAAAAGGGATTTTCAGGGAACCCATACTCGCAAATGGGGCAGAACGCTTCAACTATTCCCATAACAATACTTTCTTACTTAGCTTTCACATAGAACTATCTTCTTTACTCAGTTACATAACCATTAACTAAGTACAGAATATATTATATAAAAAAGTTTTACTTTTAGACTCAGACAAAGTTAAGTATAGACCATCAATCATCAATCAACTGTTGGACCACCCTCTTCCGTCCAGCTTTTGGTAATACGATTAGTGGCAATTTAATCTCTTTTAGGCCGAGGTCAGTGTTAGATTGAGTATTTTATGCCGTTTATCTTGTGAAAGCTTTTTCTTTTTCTTTTATTCCAATTATATATATGAATTATATATAAAAATTACGAATTTTCATTAAAAATTATAACCAACCATAATTTTCGTCGAAGCTTAAGCTTGAGTTTAATTTATATGTTCGTCCTATACACACTATAATTCGGACAAAATATTATTACAAGTTGCATCAGTAATTAAACCATTAAGGATTTTATTACAATTTCACAATATCTAAATCACTAAATTCTCACTACAATCTGTGTTAAAATCAATGAACATGCACAATTATCCTACATATTATAGGATATGGCACAGAGGCACCATGTTTTCGTGATTCCTGACATTTTACTTCCTAACAGCCAGTTTTTTCGCGTATATAAATGTGATGAATATTTCACAGTTTGAAAAGGGTCCGCTGTAAAAAGCACTCGGACGAAACACGACGTTGAATTATGTGTAGGAGAATAATTGCATCCATGCTTTTTGTTTTACAGAATACTAGTACTTTAATAACATATAAAACTCCCAGGCAACTTTTAAATGGACCTGTGATTCAGATTTGAAATGTAGTTCATTATCTATATATATAATGTACATATATTATATATGACTTTTCTGTAAATAAACACTTTATTTTCTTAAACTGAAATGGATACGAAAACGTTTTTTCAAACACTATTTGATAATAATTTAAAAATAATTATTGCTTATCGACACGCTCTGAAACACATATTTTTGAAAATCAGTATTAATATTATAATACTCGTAAATGTGAAAGTTTGTGAGTATGGATGTTTGTTACTTTTTCACGCCAGAACAGCTGAACGGATCTGGATGAAATTTAGTACAGAGATAGATAGTCTGGAATAACACATAGGCAACTTTTTGTCCCGGAAAAATGAACGGTTCCCGTGGGATAGGTTTCTTTTTGTTTTATTAAAATAGAGTAATCGAAACTAGAGGTTTGCTAATAATATCATATATAAATCATGTTATATTTAATATTGTTACCAGCATATTCAAGTATTTTTAAAGCAGAAAATTTCTCGCCTCAATGCGACATGGAGAGGCTCTCGCCCATCGATAATATTTCATCTCAAAATCCACACGATTTCCGCGTAGCCGCGGAAAGCCATATATATGGTGGCTGTTATAAACAGGTTTTACTGTTTTATTTTATAGAATATGAAATGTGTTTCTGAGGGCAATATATTATTGTCTTAACCACATTGATGGAGACAACTAACGTACGAGTATCTTTTGAACAGTATAGCATTCAACATAAACTTTATATACTTCTATGAAATAAACTGCGTGGATGGTTTAAAAAGAAGATATGATTTTTCTATGTTGTATTAAACTGAGAGGGTAAAAGAAAATGATGTTGCTGTAACGTCGCCAAGCTCGGTAAATGTGTAACGATCTGTAAACGTTCGCATTATTCAACACTTTTTCGATAAAAACTTTTTTATCAGACGACTTCGGTGTCATAAATGCCCTAGGATTGGTAATTTAGAAATCGATTTTTAATTTATAGTTAATTATTCAATATATTATGTAACACCTTATCTTTCTCTCTTTAAATGCGTATACTACAGAATTATATGATTTTACGATCTTTTTATATCTTAAAAAAACGAAGGAAGTGTTAAACTTGGTGTGTATTTCTAACTCAAAGGTAAAATAACATTATGCGTGAGTCTGACTCACTTTTGGCCGATTTTTTAAAGAAATATTAAACGTGATAATTATTACGATAGGACTATAATAATAATTATATATATATATATATATATATATATATATATATATATATATATATATATATATAATCAGTCTGTATATATTTCTTATTTGCAGAGCACGACGAGCACGACATCAAATCCTAGACAACCTAAAAGACTTTTCTCTTTAAGAGTCTAAATGTTTGCACCCGCTCATCTCCGAATCAGCTAAATTGATCCTAATGGGATTTTCAGTGGACGGTAGATGATTCTATGGAAAGCGACATACGCTACTCTTGATACCGATAAAAGGAAAAGGTTCCCGTAGAATAAGGGATAAATGTTTATGAGGATTTTAGCACGGATGTAGTGAGGGCTGACAGAAACCGAGGTTGGGTCGCCGGAAATCTTAATATAAATCATATAAACTGACTCGTATACATCTATATAAAATATTTCCCAGATTAAAATTCTTCAAGTAACCAAAAGTGATATTGGTCAGCTCAACTGTTAAATTCAACTATTAAACCGTTGCCAGTAACTTTACCAAATTAAATATTTATTATTCATATCTAACTGTCAAACACATGCGTTGTTACTAATTTTAGTTAATGTAATATTAATAGTACTTGGAAGTAGCCTTGGCCGTTTATGTTTTTCATGAATAAAGGAAAACTTACATACATTTTTAATAGCTTTTTAGTATATTTATTTAAATTATAATTAACATTTAATAACAGAAACGGAAAAAAATATGGATTTTTTTATTATTTAAATTCATATTATTATCTCTTAGAGATAGTAATTTTTTTAATTTATTAGTAAAAAAAAATAAAAAATAACTTAACAAAAAACAAAATTAATAAAAAATAATTTCATTATAAACAATATCATCACATCAATTACTGTCTTGTACAGTTGAAATATTTCTCTCACTAATTATAACACATTTAATTAATCCGACCTACATGTGGCTACGGCGCGTAGCATCCGACCAGATGCTACGAACCTACATGAATCATCAATGAAATATTGCCGTAGCACGCGCATTGAACTCATTGAAAGATCAACAGAACCTTTGATTAAGCTTATTTTTTTTAATGATTTTTAATATAATATATTTTGAGTGAACATTTATGCACTTCACAGAAAAACTTCACAACACAGGCACATGGGCACGTTGTTATCGGGATTTAGGATATCCGATGGCGGGTCGGCCGCCGGCCGGTGGTGGCATACAACTAACCGGCCGGGGTGCTCCAGCGGCACTGCGCGCGCCACCGCTCGATACGCGCCGCGCCCCACGTCCACCTGTACGCTAGTCACAACAGGATCTCCCGAATAGTAAACACCGCTTCTTATAAATATAATCGTAAATGTATTTACCGTTACCATCTCATTAAATTCATTAAATGATTTTGTGAATTTTTCGTCGTAACTCACATAAATATGGCGTATTTTTAAATGGGTCTAGTTAAATTGGCGAAATGATTAATGTTTTACCGTTTTACAATTCACGCCATCTTACAACGAATATTTCCTATAAGCCATTAAACGTATTAACATTATGAGAAACCGCCATTGAAATAGTTATAAATTAACACATTGTGAACTTCACTCTCTAATTTATATTGTCATCCGTTTACATGTAACAGCATATGCTCAAATCACTCAGCTGAAATGATTTTAATGAATATGGATACGAAAATTAATATCACCGAACTTCCGAAAGCCTGACTGTAAATCTTTTTTTTTATTAAATATTTGACCAAACATTCAACTTCTTTTATAGAAATATTTTTGAAAATGTTTTATTTTTATCGTTGTTGAAAGATTTTTGAGCATTTTAGCGTTTTCAAGAACCAGGCTTGCACATTTCTAACAGCGAATACGTCGAGACGGATGCAGAAATAGATGTTCAAGTGTCGGACACAAGAAAACTTTTAAGCGGCTACTTTATCCACTAAGGCGTTCTATTACTAGGCTAGAATGTACTGTATTTGTAAAGGTAGCATTTAGTGTCTTCTGGATAACATATTCAGTTTATTGTTATGTAAAGTAAAACCATTTTCATATTTAAATAACTATCACTGCTGTCTTGGGATTTTATAATGGTCCAAACGTTAGAAGCTAGCACAATTATATAAATATCCTAACATTTGAACGCTTCTATGAAAATATTTATTGGCTCTTACTTTAACATAAACTTTACTGTACAAATATTTACTTTTCGTTTCTACGTTTATATAATGTTATAGCTCAAATCAATTAACAAAGTTTGATAATGTTTGCTGTTTGATAATGTTGACTGTTAAAAGTATTAAATAAATGTTTCTTTAACAATGTACATATGTATATAAGAAAGAATACAGATATTTTCACAAAAATATTGTTAGAGGCTTTTAATATGGCTTTCTTATTCTTAGAGTACTGCTGTAATAAATAATGATACAAATTTTAGTTTGAGGTTGAGTGTGTGATATAAATTGCGCATCACGTTCATTTTTAGATATAAAGTTTTATATTAAATCTCATATAATATAATAAATCTCCTTATCTCAAATGTCTTATCCTATACTATATTATATTACACATCGCGTGAAAAAACTGAGAAAAATATAGCTGGCTGGCTAACAACCTCTAATACGATCATTTGTAAGTTCCGATACACGAATGTTACATAAGAATCCTTTGAGAAGATAGTATATTATAATACTCCAATTCTTTCGGCAATTTTTTAGAAACATTAGTTCATGAAAGGCATTATAAGGGCAAAAACCTAAATCTAGTAAAATAACAACGTAATATTTTATTGTTTCCAAAATAAAAGAGCATTTTCCACGCGATAGGATTCGCGAATGTGACTTCTTTATAGCGTTATTGAGCTGATTTAAAAGCTTCTACTTACGTTCAGTATTATTAGTAACAACGTTCCGATACAAAGTACATATATATATATATATATATATATATATATATTAATTCCTAATATAATAAATACAGAAATAAGTCACGATACTATTTAATGATAATAAAATTCTACTGCTGCTTATTTTCACCGGAATCTTTTTAAATCAACTTACAAATAATATTTTTTTTATTTTATGCACATTTCTAGCTATGCCATAACAAACATTAACTATTTTAGATGTATCAATCTTACCTTTGCTACTGATTTTCAGCATCAAGTTACGGCAAAATGAATATCGTAATATTCTTCTACATGCGAAGATTTGTAGGTGATATGTGGAAATAAAATCAAAAGAATTGATACAAAACTATGGAATGTTTGTTTTATTTCTCAGGATTATAACTGCGAAGACCAGAGCAAGCGAAAAGAAAATGGTATATCTAAAAGATACTCTATTTACTTGTATGAAAATTAATTAAAAACAAAGTTTTAGGTACATATGAGAGAAAATATGAAGAATCTTAGTACAAAAAAATATTTTAAAACTACTTTTACTTGCTACACAGTTTTATGTGAATATGAAATATATTAACGCCAAGGTAGCACTCGACCCTTGGTTACTTCGACTACTAAATTAGGCAAATGAGCCTTGTATTATGGTAATAGAAAATGACTTCGTGACGGCGCATTTCTTCCACTTTCTTGGAAAAAACGATCAAGCAATTAGTTCGCAGTAATTAATTTCTAAATCCTTTACGTAATTTTGAATATTTTTATTTAACCGTTTTCAGTAAAATATAAAGTGTTTAAGTTAAGTTTAGATTTAAATAAAACTATCTTTTCGGATTTTTTCGCGAACGGGAGAGACTCCCGTGACCATGATTGCTGTAAATCATTCGAAACATCGGGAACTAAAAATAAATTCGCTGAAAAAATCCGAAAAAATAGTTTTATTTAAAATGTCAAGTATTCACGTAAATCTAAGAAAGTATTTAGATTTAAAGTTAAAGCTGCCTTGAGAATGTAAGTCTTATTAAGCTTACAAATATGATTTATGATTCTTTATAATAAATTGAAAAAAACTAATTTTACGCTTGAAATATCACTTTGTTGGTAAAAGAATATGGTTTATTTACACAACGAATGTAATTAAATTTAAACATAATAATTTGCTTCAGTCCACAAGTAATTTTGCTATTTAAGTTATTTGCTTAGTTATATAAAAAATATAAAGGTGAAGAGTGTATTTTAATATTCGTTTTTGAACGCGCTAATATGTGGAAGTAGTACTTCCATTTTTTTATATACTATAGCTTATTTATTCAGGAAGGTTATAAGCTACCTAAGGTATTACGACTCTTAGAACAAGGGAATTTATATACAAGCTAGCGACTCACCCTCGCTCCGCTTTCGTTTCCCAATACAAACTTTCATCCCCATTTTCGTCCCTTAAAGGATGATTTCTGGGATAAAAAGTATCCTATGTCCTTTCCTGGGTCTCAAACTATCTTCTCACCAAATTTCATCTAAATCTGTTCTGTAGATCCAAAGATTACTCTACAACGTCACAAACTCATAAACTTTACCTCTTCATAATATTAGTACAGATAAGCAAAGCGAGTGGCGCTGCGGGTAATTCTAGGTTTTTATATATATTGAATTCATTATACAAATAAGATTACTAGAATTCGAATTCGAATTGGAACAGTACCAAATAATTTAAGCATAGATTCTGATATATGACTCGTTATATATGATAATAAGGATTGAGGGTTTGTTTGTTCATCGCATATGCATATTTGTTAGTCCTTCGCTATGTAAGCAGATTATCCTAAGAACCAGTCCACAATTACGTAGCAGACGTGAGGGATTCAAATATTTTTAGCAATTCATTATTCTACGACTCTAGCATATATAAGTGAAATAATCCAGACTAATATTCATTCTAATATTATAAATGTGAAAGTGTGTTTGTTTATTTGTTTGTTTGTCTTTCTTTCACGTCAAAACGGCTTAGCGGATTGACATGATTTTTGGTTTAGAGATATTTGGAGGGCTCTTTTCCACGGGAAAACACGTTATAATACAATCCAAAAAAAATATATGATTAGAATTACTTGAAACATGGTATAAATGCTCTTCAATGCAATTAATTAAATACGTGTTTTAGCATTTTTTGAAATTCATCCCATAAGGGTGTAATATAACGAATGAAAGTTTGTATGAAACCTACCATTTTAGAGTAAGTAGTTTTAATGCGAGCGAAGCCGCGGATTCTACTAGTCTTAAATAAAAAAATAATTTCTTTTTGATTCTAAATAGGGTATGTTAGTATATTTCATATATTTTAAGGTAATACAATTTGTTATATAACTAAACTAAGAAACTAGAAAATATAATACATAACTCTCCACTAGTTTCGAATGGAATTCTTCTTTTTTGTATTGGTTTTTGAAACGGAAAATCGACTTTCGAAAGACGACAGCGCAACTGATGAATGTTCAACCTTTTTGGAGTTGAAATCGATAAATCCAATAATTATTATTAGGATTTTTATTACTAACCGTAGCCCATTGCTAAAAAGCGCTTTTAAAAACCAAATGAAGCTATTTTCATGTACCCAACATGCCTTTATAATATGGTGAAAAAGAGCAAGAGGTGGAAAAAGAGCACGAGGCAGACCAAAAGAACACTGGATCGACAAGATCACTAAAATAATAGGCACAGACTGGCTAGAATTGGCTAGAGATAGAAAGAAGTGGAGGCACTTGGAGGAGGCGTATACCTGAAAGAGGCCATGACTTCTCAAAAAAAATATGTCAAAATTAATAATATTTATTGAATCAAATTATTAGAATTATCAATCATAATGTTATATAAAATTATTTAAATGTATTTTTGGTCATGAAAACAAAGAGGCTTATAAATAAATAAAATAAAAATATGGTGAAAAAAACTATCGCGAGGAGTCAGCATGTCAGAGTAAACTAGCGTGTATATCCTAACTAGCTTTTGAAAGTCGTAGTTACGATGATAGAAGGTCCGTGCCCAGCAGTGGAACAGTTAGGAAGAGTGGAAGAATGTAATTTTTTTTTCTTTTACATATTAACCTTCAAATTTTTATCTATTAATAAATCACTTTATCGTAGTAATTTTGTATATAATAGTTGCAATTTTTATATTAATATTCATATGTCATAAGATAAAATGCATGATGCCTATATCAAGACCAAATACATATTTAAGTTTTTATTTCAATAAATATAGTCCAAGTACTACAGTACAGTGTGTTACTTTATAACAACAACAATTAATCTTAATCTCATTCAATCTTACTAAAATCAATACAAACTCCTTAAAACGGAGAATGAAATCTGCAACTAATGAAAGAGTACTTTTT